AAACAAGGGAATTACCTTAAATCAAAAAGTCTTGTCATCACTGAGCTACAGTGGTTTTATAAGGGTTCGTATGCGCTACTCTTCAACATGAGTATGCTCAGTGATTGGTGCCAGCAGTTTTATCGTCGCATTACTTGAATCACTTTATAGGCGGTGAAACCTGTATTAAGCGGACACCGTATGAAGCGGACACCCTCTATTAAGCGAACAGTAGCCGAAGTCCCCAAATTTATTCCCCTTATTTACTTTAAATGAAACCTTTATTAAGCGGACACCTCTATTAAGCGGACGCGGACACCTAAAAAGTTCCTGAAATGGTCATTTCTATTGTGAGGGTCTCAATCGGGTTAACCGATAGGCGTAAAACGGCCAAAAATTTAGTCGATAGCCGTAAAAATTGAAAAATTTTAACCGTTAGCCGTAAATAGAGTAAAAAGGAGTTAACCGTAAAAAAGACTGTTCCCTAGGTTTGCTACTTTTAAGCCGGTACTAAACTCACTTATGGTTGCGTCTTTTATTTCCAGGCTAGTGTGACTCCGTACGCGCACGTTAGGCGAAACGTGTTTTAGGTGCAGACCAAGACCTAGGCTCCATTTCCGCAGCCTCTCGGGGAACTAATTTTTTCCATGGCGAAAGTGTGGCTTCTTGCTGGGGATTAATATTTGCGATTTCCAGGAGGTAGTGCCCTCAAAACACTAGTGAAGAGATGTCACTGTTTGTAAAACACGTTGCCCATAAACAACATTTCCCTGTTTTTCTCTGACGCTACGGTAGACATTGCCATGCCTAGTCCCTGTAAGGCGTCTTCCCACGCAATTTCGGTGAAAGCATTTCGGTGGCGAACTCGCTAGGACCACGTGACCTGAAACGCATTAGCTGCGCGGAATAATGAGGCCTACGATATACGGACAAGGCAACGGGAGACAGTCGTTCCGTACAGTCCTTCGCTATCATTAAAAACACTGGACACGGGAATTTTGTTATTAACCGTTTTCACGCTAGAGCTAGAAATGGATTATCCGGCTGAGGGGAGGGGGCGGCTATACACGAGGGTTGTCCGATACTCACAAATAGACTCCATTGGTGTTAGTGGTGATAAGAAGGGTCTCCATTGATACCAATCGTACGATTGGTACCAATGGAAAAGCACCCTATTCCAATGGTTCTATTGGTGAATATGCATCTCATTAAGGGGACTTAGATTATTTTCTGATGTGGTCTGGCTGGGTACAGGGCAACTCCAATGGTCCATTGGTACCAATCGTACGATTGGTACCAATGGAAAAGCACCCTATTCCAATGGTTCTATTGGTGAATATGCATCTCATTAAGGGGACTTAGATTATTTTCTCATGTGGTCTAGCTGGGTACAGGGCAATGTCGCGCCTGGCCTTGAGTTGGGCGTTTGCGTGTCCGCTTTTGCTTTTTCACAAAGATTATTTTTAATTTGACTATTGACATTTCTATGTGTAAAATAATATTAGAAGTGAAATACTTTATAAAAAGTATGATCTATCAAATGTTAAAATTTTTCAAAAGAATAGCTTGTTTCATCCTGAGATGATCCGAAGACCTTTATTTTGATTTAAAGATACAAAAAAGACAGGTTAATTAATATTTAACTTTTTGAAACAAAAGAAGTTATTTTTTTTACTTTTCTGTTAACCGTAACTGAAAAAAATTAACCGATAGCCGTAAAAGAGCCAAAATTTTAGCCGATAACCGTAAAAGCCACCACCCCATTGAGACCCTCTATTGTTGCCAACCTGTATTAAACGGACACTTGTAAATAAATTCCACCACCCAACATGCCAGACACAACAAATGAGAAAGATTGCCTCGAATCGCCACCCACAAATTTTTCGATTTTTACGTTAAAAAACGTGACTTGACGAACTTATGCGATTACTTTCACAGTACAGCCTATTGTTTTCTATTTCGTTTTGTTTGTATAGAGCTTGTTTCACTCATCTGATGTCTTCAAATTTGAGTTGCAATCCATGTTTATGGTACTATGATCAATTGGTGCACTTTGATAAAGAAATTAATGCAAACGTCTATCGTTATAGTCTCTGGGAGTATTATAAACGCTTATACTGTTCATTTGAATGGCATTTGACACCTCATATGACGTTATACCTTATTCTCCTTTATTTTCGCGGGACTTAAATTCCGCGAAAATTTTCTCGGCACATTTCGCGAGTCTTTAATTTCGCGATCGCGGAGAAAAATTGTGTTTGCAGGGGATTTAATTTCGCGAAATTGACGAAAATGACTTTATTTTTTCTTTTTTTGACAAAAATTGTACGATAATCAAGAATTGAAACAAAACCAATATGCTGTCCCTTAGAGGCAGCTGTATTCCTCTAAAAGTCAGTCTTACAGTATCTTGTTCTTCCGAGTCATTATCGAGTATCGAGAGTATCGTTACATGTCCTTTCTAGGAGATCTCAATAGAACCTTCAATCTCTTCAAATGGATCCTCAGGGGGAAGACTAAA